GTGTTGTGTTGTGTCAGTTGTGTGTGTGTGTGTGTGTGTGTGTGTGTGTGTGTGTGTGTGTGTGTGTGTGTGTGTGTGTGTGTGTGTGTGTGTGTGTGTGTGTGTGTGTGTGTGTGTGTGTGTGTGTGTGTGTGTGTGTGTGTGTGTGTGTGTGTGTGTGTGTGTGTGTGTGTGGATCTGACATCCAGTCTCTGGAGGAATACAGCAGCACTTACCAGGTTCTCAGCGACTGTCAGTCTCACTGCATAGAGTGCTCTAAAACCTTAGTCATCTTTAGCTCAATGGTTTAATGGACCTGTGTACCGTGTGGGCTTAGGAGTCACACACTCTCATTGTGATAACCCTTGAGATTCTCATAAAGTCATACATCGATCATTAAAGCACTCATTAGGGAGGAGGATGAGGATCATAGCCTTCACAGACGTATCATCAAATCACAGTGTGCCGACGAGCACTTCATTTGCCCGACAAAAGGTCTTTATAAAAGTTCAATGAAATCATGATTTGGCTGTTTATTGTTCATCGATAGTTACTTACGGTAACTATGTGGTCAAGCCAAACATCCCTTAGAGCCAACTGTAAAGCATCTATTAGACGCATTTAAAGCTTTCTCCCTGCCAGTGTGTTCCCTCAGTGAGTGTCTCACAGTTACAGTAATATCAAATACTTTCACTAAGGGCAGTGTGAATCTGAGTCTACTGTGTTGCGCTGTATAGATGCCTCTATAGCACAGCAGCTGTTCTCTCATTTCTCTGCTTAATAATCTTCCATGTCGTACTTTTGTTACGTGAAATACTGTTTGGACAAGCGTTCAGTACGGATTCTCTGCACTTACAAATCATCAAGTTAACTGGAGAGAATTGTATTTTATAACTTGATCGTTGTGTAAAAGGTGAATATAAATGGATGATGTGAACTATGGGCTAAATATGCTAAGTGAGAGTAATTACTTTGAATGGAAGACTGTAAAACTAACTGTTAAAGGTCTCTCAGTTAAAAAGAAGTGGGCTACCTTGAAGCCAAAATCTCACAAAATCCTTCTAGTCTTTGAAGTTAGGTTTAGGTCGTTCTCGAGGCTGAAACTACAGGTTTAATCTGGGCTGTCACTGACTCAACGAAACACTCTCATATAACCTCAGCTGTCAGTCGAAAGATAACTCTTGAAATAGAGAAACATAAACAGAGGTCTGATGTCTCCTCCATCTCTCTGGGTATTCCTGTTGCTGGGGAACTTAGGGCTTTATGGCAGGGTCTTCAGTCATCTCTCCTTAACATCCCAACTTTAGAGAGGTCCCGCAGGGGGTCCTGAGCTTGGCTGTCAGACGCTGCAGAGATGCCGTTAAGTAACACTGAACACTTCCCTCCTTCCTCACAACCCGTTTGAGAAACCCTTTGACCTTAATCAACCTTTTAATCAATGACCTTGTCTGATAACGCTGCCCACACACCTCCCATTGAGCACCCCCCCCCCCCCTCTTTCTCTCTGTATTCCCTGGGTACCCTGCAGTGTCAGAAGGTTCCTGTAACGATACAGCAGTTTCCTTAAACCCCGGCCCCTCTAATAGAACAGAGTTTAGTCCCCTAATTAGCCCTTAATGCCGTGTCAATTTGAATTAAGAGGGAAGCCAGTTTTAGAGAGAAAAAGTAGACGTTCTGTGTGAAAGGAAAGTGCCTTTTAAGAAACTTCCCACAACCATTCATTAAACAGGCACAGAGGGGAGGAAGGGAGAAGAAAGCCCTCACAGGAGCCATTGACGTACAGTAATGGATTGGAAATATGAAGGCTCTGTTAAGGTAATGGCTGACTGTAGTGGCATCCTGTGGAGCAGGGAGGGAAGGAGGGAGGGAGGGAGGGAGGGAAGGGGACGCTGTATGTCAAACAGCTATGTCGCAAAACGTATTGTGTTTTTGGTACATTTCTATTTTTATTCTGGTTTGAAGGCTAACGACACACTTCCATAAGACCTAAAGAGGAACCACTTTCAGATCTGTTGAACTGACCAAGGCTTTGAAATCATTTCTCAATTTTGATTTGATAAAAAAAGGTAGGTTCAGGTTGCCTTAAAAATAAAGCAAATCCTTTGAATCAATCAAGGTGAACTTGCCATCAAACTGAGTCAGTTGTTGTAACACATCATGTGATGCAAGTGTGTGTGAAAACAAGTTAGTCCATAGTAAAGGGTGTAATTGTTGGAGTAGTTAAAAGTATCAATCAATCAATGTTTATTTATATAGCCCAATATCACAAATGTTACATTTGTCTCAGTGGACTTCACAGTTTGTACAGAATATCAGTATGACAATACGACACCCTCTGTCCTTAGACCCTCACATCGTACAAGGAAACACTTCCAGAGAAAACCCACAGTTTAAAGGGAAAAATGGGAGAAACCTCAGGGAGAGCAACAGAGGAGGGATCCCTCTCCCAGGACGGACAGACGTGCAATAGATGCCGTGTGTAAATTGAAAAGATAATACATTTGCAACATAGGTAGTCCAAATGTTTGGAAATGCATGTGTGTATAATAGGAAGATGAATCCACGAGGATATCCATCCAGGACTTATGATCCAGGATCACAGCCACGACTCAAGATCCAGGACTCGCGATCCAGGACTCGCAATCCATGACACAGGACCGCAGGATCATCCATGACTCCGGATCCCGGCGTATATAGACACCAAAAAGAAAGACATTTGGGGAAGCTGGGTTAATCGGAACATGAGAGTACACAGGTATAGACAGAGAGAAGGAAGAAGTAAGATGTCCCCCGACAAACTAAGCCTATATCAGCAAAACTAGGGGCTGAATCTAATCAGCCCTAACTATAAGCTTTATCAAAAAGGAAGGTCTTAAGCGCACTCTTAAAAACGGATGGGGTGTCTGCCGTCCGAACACAAACTGGAAGCTGATTCCACAAAAGTGGAGCTTGATAAGAAAAGGCTCTGGCTCCCATTGTACTTTTAGAGACTCTAGGAACAACCAACAACCCTGCATTCTTGGAACGCAATGCCCTAGTAGGACAGTAGGGTATAATGAGTTCTTTAAGGTAAGATGGCGCCTGCCCATTAAGGTCTTTGTAGGCGAGAAGAATAATTTTAAATTCTATCCTGTGTTCTATAGGGAGCCAGTGTAAGGCAGCCAGAACAGGAGTAATGTGGTCCCTTTTCCTAACTCTGGTTAGTACACGAGCTGCAGCATTTTGAATCAACTGAAGCGACTTGACTGACTTCTTGGTACACCCTGATAATAAGGAGTTACAATAATCCAGCCTTGAAGTAACAAATGCATGGACTAGTTTCTCAGCATCGTTTTGAGGCAAGATACGCCTGATTTTTGCAATGTTACGTAGATGGAAGTACGCGGTCCCATTCAAAGTAATGGATATGACTGAAATAATGAACAAACTGTTCATATAGTTAGCTAAAAATAATAGACTAACCATTTATCTAGATATTTAATGTTAATAAACAACTTTTATATAATAATTATGTAAAATAAAATCCAGTTTACAATCCATTCATATTTGAGTGGTTATTATTATTATTATTATTATTATTATTATTATTATTATTATACACCTTTATCAAAGATATTAAAGTATAGCTAAAATGGTAACAAACATTTTTTTTCCCCTTAAGCTGTTTTCTGGTGATTCTTCATGTGGATTCAACCTGTAGTGTTTGGTTTATGGAACATGATCAAAGAGCGATGTAAACACTGTCGTAAGTTTTGAACCCACCAAGTAACTTTCTGAGAGCTACAGCCATGTGACAGGAACTCAGCCAAAGTGTGATCCTATTGGCTCCTGTGGGAAAGTGATGCCTTGTAATATTTCTAAATGGTGAGTCACCACAGTGTTACCTTCCTAATGTTGCACCTGATACATCCTCTCTGCTCATGACACTTCCTGTCACATCGTTAAGGTGTACGAGCAATTACAGCGTCTGTGGGAGGGTGACTGGAGCTTCTATCTAAAGTTCTCACTCCCGAAACTTTAGTCCTTTTCCTGCTTAACTTTCAGCCATGTGCTGTGGAGTACAAAATATCTCATTCCTTGTTTTTCCGTGTCCATCTTTCTAGCACGGTGACGTCAGCAGTGTTCACGGTGGGAGACAACGTGGTTTCAGGGAGTGACGACCGCACTGTGAAGGTGTGGGATTTAAAGAACATGAGGTCGCCAATAGCAACCATCCGCACTGACTCAGCTGTGAACCGGTAGGTGACACGTCATATCATAACTATATAAAACAGGAATAGTCATATAATAATAATAATAATAATGCAGCTTTATTTATATATCACTTTTCAACACGTGCAGCTCAAAGCGCTTTACAAAAGGACACATCACAAGTTCAAAACAAACATCAAGAAATTTGCCTCAGATGATTTGTTAAGAACTTAAAAAAGGTACATTTGATCAGGTTAATAAACACAAGGAGGTCAAATGTATGAAAATAAAATAAATAATGGTTTCAGATAAGACACAAGACGCGACTGAGTCGATGCAACTAAAGTGAACATTTAGGCTCAACAGAAATAAAAAGATAATAGGAATAAGAATGCCATAACTCTACTAAAGGTTAAACGATTAAGAAATAAAGAAGACCAACGTAAAAAGAAATATTGCTATTAAAGCATGTTAGATAAAACAAGATCAAATCCTTTTAAGACCTATAAAATAAAAACAATATAAAGGTAGGTAAATAATAAAGACTAAAATAACTTATAATGTGGGGGGTTGCTAATGAACAGATGTGTCTATAGCTGTATATATCTATCTATCTATCTCGAATGCAGTTCAGAAGTGTGGCCCTTGTTCAAAGTGAACTTGTTTTGCCCTTTCAGGATCAGCGTGTCCGCCAACCAGAGGATCATCGCCCTGCCACACGACAATCGACAGGTCCGGTTGTTTGACATGAGCGGAGTGCGGCTGGCCAGACTCCCACGCAGCAACAGAATGGTGAGGAAGAGGGCAACACGGCCACACAGGTGTGTGTTTGTCCTATCGACAGAGTTCTAACATCATAACCGTGTGTGTGCAGGGTCACAGGCGGATGGTGTGTTGCACGGCCTGGAACGAAGAGAACCAGTCGTGCAACCTCTTCACCTGCGGCTTCGACCGGCAGGCCATCGGCTGGAACATCAACATCCCTGCCCTGCTGCAGGAGAAGTGACGCGGCTCACACACACACACACACACACACACACACACACACACACACACACACACACACACACACACACACACACACACACACACACACACACACACACACACACACACACACACACACACACACACACAGTGAAGTAGGAGGTGTACATATAGACTCTGTGGCCTGGCACATACATATTGACCCCGGGAAGCATCAGTTCAGTCGTCATGTGTTTCACAGACGAAATGCAGATGTTAACATTTGGTAAGAGCTTCCTTTGTTGTGTCACATGACTGACATGGTTCCAACATGTTAAAGTCTACGTGTGTGCGAGGCCACAGATCTCCTCCTCCTGCCCCTGTCACTTCTTTAGCATGCGATGTGAATTGTGACACGGCTAGTCTGATTATTTTTGGTTCCTGGCCTTTTCTGTTTGAAAGTATATATTTAAATCTCCAGTTGTACGCTGCTGCTCACATCACTGTTGTTTAGTTACGGTTCTTGCATGTTGATAATCTCGTTTTGCAAATGTGACTTGTAAAGAGAACAATTATAGGGCCAGGAGAGCTTGTAGAATATGATATAAAGACGTTGTGTATATACTGTATTATGTCGTGGCCTGATTAAGTGCCCCGTGGTGCAGGTGGTTGCAAGTGTCTTACAGTTATCTCCCTACAAAGGTTGGAGTTTGGCAGAGATAGCGTTGTTCTGTGAAATGTTTTTATCCTTTTAGTGAGACTTATAGATATACAGATTAGTCATCATGGAACAAAAACGTTCGTATTTAGTTTTGTCACTTGCTGGGTCAATCATTTGTCTTAAAATGTTAAGAATCTGCTGTCCTCGCTATAGATTTGAGTCCTTGCCTTTTACCTTTGATATTTTCACTTCACCACCAGCCTCCATTTTCTTTCCAGATGTTGTTAATATTAATGATGATACTGTAACTGCCTTGTTCCATGTTTACAGTAAGTTTATTTTTGCTCTATTCTGCCTCTCTGTCAGACTGCAACGAGTCCAGAGCATAGCAATAAGGGGACTCCACTTCTGTTGTTCACAAATATTTAGTAGGTCTGTGAGTGGGATGTGTTCGTAATCAAGTACTCCCAACATGTATCTGTGTCACTACTTTTAGCCATAATATGTACCTAGTGTTAGTGAGAAACGTGTTGCCGCCTCCCCAAAGTCAACTTGTTATGGTTTATTATTGTGAAGTCTTCATGGACTCTTTATCCAAATTCAGAAGCAATAACCCAGCTCCTTTATGTTTCTGGTGCTCAGAGTAGAGCTCCTCTGTCTTGTGAATCAATACGTCTGACTTAAACAAGCTCTGAATCTCACTTTGAGAACGATAAGGAAACCCTTTGTTACATGTGCAATATCCCTAAACAGGAAGTCATGCTTGAGTTTTTGATCGTTAGATGTTTAACTTATTTCCGGGCTGTAGACCCCATCAAATGATTTCTCTGTACGTGTGACTGCTGTAGATGTACAGAAGTATGCAGAACTCCCAAAGATGGCTCCAGACGTTACACTGTTTCAATCAACAATAGAGTCAGCATGGATTTTGAAGTAGCACAGACCTAAAAATGTAAAAATCTTATTGAAATACCTTACCATTGCTTTGATGCCTTATCCTCCTGAGCATCAAGCTTTTCCAAATGCTTGTTATATAACTAGTTGTAATCCACTGCAGCGTGCAGATAGGATTTTTATTTCCGTTTCATTCAGGAAACTCAATCTTGGGCCCATTGATATCAATGTCATTTTAATTTGCTGGAAGACAGGCAAGACCTGATATATTAATACCAGCTCGGAGGAAATATGATTTTGGATTGATACATTAAATTATTGTGTTACAGAATGGAAGAAGGTAAAAAAGTGGATGGGCTTTGCCTCATTGTAGCAAATCATATCCATTTCATACTTCATTATGTGATCTACTTTGCATACTTTATTGTGATGGGTACGTGCTCTCTGACACTTTCCAATAAAATGTGTGATTTACCTTTCCCAATCTCTCATGTCTCTTTTTTTAACACTGCTCCCCCTTTTATACAATTCAATAACATATATATCAGTTTGAGGATTGCACTTCATTCATACGGCTGTAAATCTGCTAGCTTGGAATAACGGTGTCTGGTATTAAAGAAACGGGAACCATAAGAGATACACATATATGAACCTGGTGCTGAAAAGGTGAATTTCCCACTGAATGATATGACACTTGTGTGTACAGCTTTCTTATCTCACTTGTTTTTTTCTTTAGGTAACTTCTGAGGCTTGTAGAGAGTGGTTGGTTTGGTCACTGTTGAATAACTGCTGTTGTGCATTCAAGCCAAGGCAGCTCAGCTTCTACACGGCCGTCTTTTATACACCAGGGGTTCAATGACGCTAAAGCAAACATTTTGGAAACGCAACATAGTGTAGTAGTACGTAAATATGCAACAACAAAAAAACGGAATAGTCGGCAAAGGTATAGTGTGTAGAAACCAGGCGTGGTATAGTATGTCGTTAAAAATGACAGAAAAGTCATAAAGCATGTTGAAAAAAAGCAACATGCTTTTTTACACACACTCATCTAAAAGTTGGTAACGGGCATAAGGGGGACCCTTATCTAAAAGGTGAAGAGGGGATGTGTCTTTTCTGAAAATGTTTGCATATTTTCGACATAAAGCTATATTATTTTTCATGAAAATGTGGACAAACCTTACCGTTTTCTTTTGCATATTTCGAAAAACTATACCATGTAGGCCTACCGGTAGTTTTTTTTGCATAATTTGAAATTCTATCAAACTTTACACTTCGTTTTTTTGCATATTTTCGACATTCATACTGTCGTTTTTTCTGAAAATGTTGACGTACTATAAATAGTCGTTTCTTCATAGTATAGCAAGGACTCCACAGAATAGTATGTCGACATTTTCATAGTAAAGCTATTACAAAATATGGAAAAACACTATATAATATTTTATGTTAAATAAAAAAAAAGCTGGACATTTTATGGTATGTTACAAATATTGTAAAAATGACATAGCATGACATGTCAAACATTTTGAAAAAAATTACATGGTATGATGAAAATATGCAAAGAAACAAGAAATGTCAAAATTATCAGAAAAACAACATATTAAAGGATGTATCAGGTAAATGTTAAACTAAATGTTTTGAACACTTCCAGGAGGTTTTGCATTGATGGAAGAAGTAGCTTATTCTGATCCTTTTCCACTTTTACGTGGTTAAAAGTTAAAATGATATATTATACTCTAAAGTAAAAGTACTGTATTGAAAATATTACTTGAATGAATGTTCATGCATTAACACTTCAGTGTACTTAAGGTATAACAAGTACTGGTTCTTCAAGAAAATGACCCAATGGCAAAGTACTTGTAGTGAGCAGCAAAGACAATTATTACCTTGAATGTGCAGCTCTCCTTGGCTTTTAGAGATTCTGGGCTCATTGTGTGTCTGTCAGGCTCAGCTCAAGTGTTTCAGTCCTCTCAGCTGCAGCAGGCTGGCTTCAGATTAAAAGCTCTAAAAACCCACTGTAGAGTTTACAAACAGGAATTTAGTAAAGCATCATCATCATCACTGAAATATTGGACTTAGATTCATCAAATGGACAAACTAGATCTAAATGAATGATAATGTTGTTCCTTAACGGCTAACTGTGCTAGCAGGTTAGCCCAATCAACTTAAAAGTTGAGTTTATGCCAATGTTGTTTTTACCACCAGTTTCTGCTGACCCCATGTGGGGGGGCTAAAGCTGGTTTGACATTTATCTCCATGTCAGAGGTTTAGTGGTCAAATGCTAATTGAATAGAACTGTAAAAGAAGCCAGAACGTTTTAGAATGACCCGTTGTAATGTAAAATATGAATATGGAGCGAGACATGTAGTCAAATAATTCAGTGAAATTAAAGTAGCCTATAAATAAAGTAGAAGGATTATACTTATAGATACATTTAAGTAAATGACAACCACATCGTTATTATGTGTGTCAGGCCTACTATAGCAAATCTGATTTCTTTCTACCTATGGATCTTTTTTAGATAACTTTGAAAATGTCTTAGAGTATAAAAGATGCTATTCCAAAAGACACGATCATCCCTGTGTACATACTGTTGGCTGAGCATACATGTTGAAATAGTGTCTCAATTACAGTCTGTGCTATGCCTTTCAGATTTCATTGAGAGACAGCATGACACTGGGGGAGAATATTCTGTGGAGCTCTCTCTCTGTCCGCTCCCATTAGATTACAGCTGGCTGGCCGTGACCAGCCACTGGAGCAAATTGTCAATTATGATGTTTATTGTAGAGCACACAGTCGAGTCCATGGCCTGAGGGGGAAGGGTGGATGCTGCTGAGGAGGCACACCTCGCCCCCCTCCTCCTCTCCTCTCCCCCTCTTCCTCGCTTCATTCTTCCTCCAGGCTAATTTGGTGGCTGGTCTGTGTGACACCTGCCACCGTGCCAAATAGAGATAACCATTTCCCCATGGATTTCTCTTGAGGGGGGGCGGGGAAGGGCCTCTTTAATATTTGTCTGGAAGCTCCTGGGGGCCAGCGCTGGCTAGACAGGTGATCCTGAAGCTGACAAAGTAGAAATGGCCTAATTTCAGTGCTAATTGTATATATTTTTTTTTTGTACTCGTAATTAGATTATTAAAATCTAGATGATCAAAAAAAACTATCCAGACAAGGTAAAATTACAAGATTGTGTGGTTTTAATCACATATACAGTACAAACATTCAATTTTTTAATCATTACTGAAGTGCAATTTACAGACCTTAGCAGCAATTCTTCATATACTTGAATTTACATGATAATTAGACATTTCAGGATCTCTTTCACATCTTTGTCAACATCTTTTATACATTTCTTTATACATATGTACATTCTTAGATACAATATTGCCATTCAGACATGCCTTTTATTGATCATTTCTCAAAATAAATCTATTTCCATGGCTTTTTTACTGCCATTATGAAACATGGTGTAGAGAAATCATGAATGTTGTTCCTCATGTTGTTTCTGAAGTTATGGAGGGAAGGCTGATGTTGACCACTCACCATATGGAAGGTTTTTATTTTTGAATGGCATCCAGACCATCATGGAACATAAATGAAATTCGTAAAAAAGAAATGGCTGAGTGAATAGGAAGCCAGATTTAGGTCAAATGTGGGTCCAGTTTTCTCTTGTGCTAGTCTGCCTGCCTGTTCCTCACACTCTGACCTCCACTGAAGGGCTCATTCTACAGTTTAGTCAGCCAGATAGTGAACACTTTGGGACAGGGAAACAACAACAGGAAAGCACCACTAGATGTCACTGTCACTACTCAGGTTTTACTGCCGGTGGCCACTTTAGATGATTCATCTAAAATCCTTGAAGAGAATACCGCAATGACAAAAACAAGTCATGATCACAATGAATATCAACACTTTGCTGGTAACATTTACACACAGTGTTGGTTACATCATATATGCTTAAACATAAAAACAGCAAAGGTGCAAATGTACATTGACCAGGGATGTCCATATTCACCTGGGTCATTTTTATCAACACATCATTTGTATTTAAGTGTGTTGAAGTTTACAAAAAACAAAACAAAAACTCAATTCGACCACTTTGCTGACAGTGAGGGTGGGGGGGGGGGGTCTGGTGTCTTACAAAACTTTTTGCCGCTTCAACTATTATCTGCTCAGGGCGGTCCTGACCACAGAGTGAAAGCACAAGTCGATCAGGTCAAGAAGGCTTCCCTAATGAGACACGACCAAAAGTCGTTTTTGTTCGATTCAAAGGGTACGGAAACCGGCCCCAGCAGGCTGGAAACTGAGGTAGGTGACGAGAGAGAGAGAGAGAGAGAGAGAGAGAGAGAGAGAGAGAGAGAGAGAGAGGAAATAACATTTGGATAAAAGAAGGAGAAAAAAGCCGTAATGGTTGCAATTATGTACCTACATTTTTCTCCTTCTACCTACCCAATGGGGTGAGGATGCAGGAAAAAAGCAGTGTATTAACCTGTCGTGTAAACCTCAGGCACGGAGGGGGAGGGGGAGGGGGGGGGTAAGCAGTGAAGAGAGGCTGATAAAGAAGAGGTGAGGGAAATAGGTCGAAGCAAACGGAAACAGGGCTAAGGGGAGACAAAAGGAGGAGGAAGTCAGGTGTCAAAGGGTGAGTTAGAGAAGGAGGACAAAGATAGAAATGAGAGAGGGAAGGTGAGGCAGGATGAAGCAAGGGTGTGTCCTCTTTTTCTCTCTCTCTCTCTCTTCTCCTATCACCCGTCACCCTGACAGGGACGGTAATTGGACGTGGACCTCTTTCTCTCTCTCTCTCTTTTCCCTCTTTCTCTGTCTCTTTCTGTCTCTCTCCCCCGTGGCTCTGCTCCTCAGCGGGAGCCTAGGGGCCCGGAAATAGCTGATGACAAGATAGCGGCTGCCTTTCATTCGGCTCAAGGTTACCCCACCCCTCCATGCCGGCTGAAGAGGGGGATGTTTAGGTGTGTGTTTGCTTAAATGTGTGCGTTTTTAAAGAGTGGCAAGTCAAAGAAAGGCTCCATCTTTCCATGACCGTTCGCTTTTCAGCCCGTCAGGTTGACCTTCCTGTTGTTTCTGTAGGGGCGGATGGGTGACACATTGAGAATGACACACACCCACCCGCACACACACACACGCACCCACCCACCCACGCACACACACACAGAGACAGGGTGGTGATAGCCTTGAGCCAAAGGTTGCTCCGGTAAACTTCCAGGTATGAAGGTGTGAAGCAGGATGTTGGTAAAGAGTCTCACACTAAAAAAATAAAGGTTAACCCCACACACACACACACACACACACACACACACACACACACACACACACACACACTCTCTCTCTCTCTCTCTCTCTCTCTCTTCCTCAGACCGACAGCAGGAACTGTTCCTGCTCGGGCGGTTTCTTCACCCAGGTGCCGAGGCCCGTTTCCTGCAGAGATCTGAACCACTGCTGCTTCACTGTCTGGTATGGACGCGCCGCCATCTTGGCCTCGCAGTACATGAGCTGGTTTTCCACCGAGCCGGACACGCGAATCCCCGACTGCAGACGACGGGCGAGCAAGATAAGAGAGGGAAAACAGAGAGAAAGAGAAATTAGGATTCCGATAAAAGCGACACAGACATGCAGATAGGAAGGGATAACAAAGAGAGGGGGATACAGCCGGGGCAGGGAGGCTAAAGGTTCCGTGAAGAGGGGAGAGAAGAAGAGCGAGCAAAACAAAACGAATGAGCCGGCACAAATGCATTTGGGTGGGGTTGGGGTGGCGGTGGAGGTGGGGGGGCTTCAACAGCTGTGTAATCTCCCCATTTAAATTTCACAAGCAATTGAACATTCTCTGTGCTTTTTGTGCATTCCTATTGTCGCGAGGGGAAACAATGAAGATCGGCGGAGAGACAAGTCTGGAGAGAGAGAGGGAGAGAGCAGAAGTTTCTTTTGGAGATTAGTGCGACTGCTCTTGCGTGGCCCCTTATATACGGCGCGCAGGGAGCACTTAGGGCGGGGGCCTCCTCGAGTACTTCTCCAAATAATTATGGTTTCATAGTCATTATGCTTTAACGGCCGCCATTTGGCGACGCAGGCACTGTCTGTTACATAAAGTTTCAGAATGGAAATGAAAGTGCAGCGAGGCTGTGTGCTGACGGGAAAGATCCGAGCTGCCAGTTTTTGATAAGCCGCATAGAGAGCAGATGTTGCCGGGCCGACAAATGTATCTACGGAAATTCCATATATCCTCCGCAGAGCGCTCACCTGCAGCCACGGCACTCTGGGAATGTGATACACGTGTCTGTGCTTTTTAACTGAGTGGCTGTCGGCGTCCATCTCTCCTGTTAATGTCTCTGCATTACTGATTCCTGATGGCGGAGGATTGCATTGTGTTTGACACAACTGAGTCTCTTTCCAGCACAGCAGCAGCAGCAGCAGGCAGTGTCAGTAGAGCAGAGAGGTGAAACTGAATTGTGTTCATATGAAAATGTCACATTTGTTTTGGCTCAGATTAATTAAATTGTACAAAATATTCTCCCGACAAGTAAAAGATATACGGTGGAAGGTGGTTTTTAATTAACATTTAAATGAATAGGACAGATATTTCCTTGTGTCATAACAAGCAAAACAGTATAATTCATAATTGTAATGATGGCTGTGTTCCAGAGGGTTGGTTTGTATTGTGTCTGTTGCTTAAACAGAACAGAGCTATCATCAATGTTATACCTGTGCTTTTATACTATAACGCAAACATCCAAATGAAGTGAATAGTTACAAATGTAAATTCCCATGTCATTTGTTTATTTGTTGTTGACTCCCTTGTAGTTGGGAAAAGGGGATCAACTCTTGTAATGACCCTTTAAGCTCTCGAGATAGGTTTGTATCAGAATGAAATGCACATGAACAGATTTAAAAAGAAACGTGGAAAGAAAAAGATTGTTTCCATCGACTCGGAAAAGCAGTAGGTTGGGTTATTTATGACTTTACGTCTAACATGATGGTATGATGTAGTGCACTATTTCTGTTTCCATTGCAATTTGTTTTATTGTCACACCAACTTTTCCACTCCAGCCATATTTCAAAACTTCTTTGCGATATTCACTTTTTTTTGTTTCTCAAACTTTTTGCAATTCTATTGAGATTTCTTAATGCTCATATTTAAAATGGATGTGGAGGTGGATTGAAGCACACCTTCTTTCTACCTTATTAACCGTCCCCTCATAGATGTAGCTGAGCCCCTGACCTTTGCCCTCACCTTGCGGTAGAGTCTGTTCCAGCGGGTGAACAGGGTGTGCTTGCAGAGACGTGAGGGTGTCCCTGCGTCCCGTCTCCGCCCTGTGGATGTGTTGACCGCCTCCAGCTGAGCATCGCCCAGCGTCCAGTTGACACTCACACAGGAGGCCTTCCCCGGCTGCTGGGACTCGGCACTGCTCAGCCCTACAGGAACACAACACAGGTGAGAGAGAATTAACTTAGGTGGACTCAATCTCAATAACGACGCGCTTGTGAGTAAAATAAGGTGATTTTACACTTTTGTTCTGTTTAACCTTCTTTTACCCTTCGCTCACTCCCTCAGGCTAATGGCAGACTAAGTTTTGCAGAGTCAACCTGGGTCTGAATCTGCATGGCTGTTTATCTGAAGCTGTGATATATCCTCAGAGAGGGGGGTGAACAGGAGGGCTGTTGAGCGTATAAGAAACCTTTGTATGAGTTAAATGTGTTTTTATGCCATACATTTCATTTTCAGGTAAAAAGATCTCCCCTAAACTGGACTTTTTGTCTTTCTTTTCTACCCTATTCTCCTTCTCTTTGTGAAATAATAAGCCTCGCTAGCAAAGCACTCGAAGCGATCAGTCGAGGAAATAGAAAGTGACAGAGGTAGAGGAAGAGAGGAGATGATTGACTGTCAAGTAAGCTGTACAAGGTTGTACAAAGTTTCTCTGTAACCATAATCCTAATTAACTATTAATCTCACTGCAAATCAAAGACGTATTTCGACCCTTTAGGAAGTAAAGTGTTGGACTCTTTTGCCAATTATTGAGTTAGCAGCTAGCAGCTAGCAGCCGTTAGCTCACCTTGCATAAAGACTAACCCCAACGGTCTCCTACAGTGTGCTAAACCACATTGTGTTGTGGCAATAATACAACGGAGGAAATGATGAGTGCAATATATGAAGGCCTAACACTTCCAGAGACAGTAACATGAAGCATAGACAAACAGAGTCTGATCGCCACGTGCTGCTTGAACACTAAATCCACTCTAAATCTGTAAAACTGTTTTCAAAAAGGAATTTCTGTGGAGGATTTCACCTTGACTTCTGACCCACTTTTTCATGATAGCATGTGATGTTAAAGTACCTTCACAGAAAATGAGCAGACAGATTCTGTGCGACGGGTGAACAACAGTTGCCTCTGATCTCAGCGTCTGACAGACAGCTTGTTATAGTACAATACCTGGTGTTCAATACCACGATACATGCCTGCAGATCATCTCCCTGCTTGCCACACTCATTTTCTCGTCTTCACTCTTCCATTCACCGATTTCAGCTCTTCTTTTCTGTAGCTCCTTGGAGCTGGAATGAATTGCCTGCCACAGTAACAATCCTCCAAGTCTCTTATTACCCATCTCTTCTCTCTTGTGGAGACGCACCTCTTTGAACAAAAGACCTTCCTATCCATCCTGCCTTTTCCCTTTCTCTCGCTCCATTCATGGCTCATTTCACCCCTTCAAAGGACTTGACTCCTCTGTTTCTGGAATAGCCAATTTGATTTTTCCCTCATTGAAGACTTGATCAATTTCTCTTCTGGGAAGTGTTTGGCAGACATGAAAGAAGTGGATTTACAGCCTTTGGTTATGGGACTCCTAACTGTACAGTACACATTTACTAATATTTGAGGCTTCTGTGCAGCCACAACAAAGAATAGCCTGTGTTTAAATGTGCACATTACATCCATCCTGTAGTAGCGGATGGTTTTAAAAATGTTCCTGAGGCGTTGGAGCAGCAGCGGCGGACTAGTGAAGCAACAGGTATGCCAAAAGGTCTGTCTAAGGTGTAGCAACATATTGAGGTTGATGAGACAGGAACAGATGTAACTGAAAAGTTACTGGTTCGAATCCATGAAATATTAGGTAAGAGGGTTTTCTATTCACCTTCAGCAGCACGTAATCGCCAACTGCTTCAAGCTAACAGTTTAACATAAAAAACAAACAAATACAATCTCAAGAATCTAGCTTGTGTACAGGGTCAAGTATAAGGGGTTATAATGTATCTAGGAAACTGTCATTGAACAACCGTTATCAATGTTTCTTTTATCTACCGTTGTCCTTTGCCCAAAATGACAAAGCCCTGCCATAGTTTCTGTTCTGCGGTGGAAGTGAACAGCAGGACGAGAGTGAAGGACAGTCCATCAATGTGTTTGGCCCTCGGGGGTTCAGGTGTAGCGTGATAAGAGCGGTCCCTGCGATCCCCGGGAATTTCCTCTAAGGGCGTTTCTTTTAAATAACCCTGGACACACAATAGCTGCGGAGCTCATCAGAACCAATGAAAGGAATGGAGGANGGGGGGGGGAGGGGTACGCACACAGCCATCTGAATGCAAGCAAAGCCCTCTTTTCGCTTTATTCCCCTCCTGCCTTTCTGTCTCCTTCTCTTCCCCTCCGCCTGTCTCTCTCTCTGTCCGACCCCCCATCAGAGTGAATGGCTGTCTGATAAGGGCTGTGATTACATTGATTTGGTGTAGGGCCATCTCCGCTGTTTGTCCATCTTCCTCCCCCTTCCTTCACCCTTCTACCCTTCAATTGACTGCAGCTACTCGAGGTACTGCAGGTGCAAAGCTCTGACGCTTTGCGATGGGTGGACACACAGAACACATTGTGAGGGCATGCCTCTATCATACGGTAACACCAAGTATCCTCAACACTAAAATAAAGAAAAGGAATATTCTTGGAAAAACCCCTGTATAGTCATTTAACCAACTATGTAATTACTTTGAGGTTTATTCAAGTAAGTGTAAGTAAGTGTGATTGATGAAGAAATAGATGGTACTTGACTACAATTATCCAAAAAGTAACAGCAGCTTGTAATATCTGAAACCAAAAACTCCAAATTGGAGGACTCAAATGACGCCATTCAAAACGCCATTGAACAAATCATGAGAAATGACTTTCAACACCAGAGGACAATCCGGTACAATTATCAATCTTGATGAGGATAGGCCTCACAAAATATTCATCCTCATGGCACCCAATTACCCGGAGCAGAGCCCTGCGACGCAAAGAGCTCCTGTGCCCTTCAAGAACTATACTTTAAACCTGATCAAAGTAAGGAAGGATGTATCAGATGTATTCAATGTGTGCATTTTAGGGTTGATGCAATGATGATAAATATATACATGTTTCCCAGTTTGGGATTGTCTCTGACTTTGTTCTCATCAATGATCCCTAGCAACAACATGTGCCCTACATCGCTGCGTGTCTCTGCCGCTCAGCCTCTCTGACTGGCCTAGATCTGAAGTGATGGCTGACGCAGTCTCTACAAGTTGGATGTCATTCAGATCCTCTTCCAGCATTCATCCTCACAACAAACGGAAAGCCTCAGGTCTCCGTGGAGCCCCGGAGGCAGACGCGCCAGACAGCTTCATAGCTGTTGCTTGTCTGGCACAATGTAAGTGTTGAAAACCTGGAGTACATCTGTTTGTTAAGAGTGTGTGTGTGTGTGTGTGTGTGTGTGTGTGTGTGTGTGTGTGTGTGTGTGTGTGTGTGTGTGTGTGTGTGTGTGTGTGTGTGTGTGTGAAGGTGATCTGTGGTGATTTATTTAATGTGGAGCTGGATTATTTATTAAAAGGAAGCTCTGAAAATAGACACGGTACTCATATGGCCCAGGATCTCTGTATGGGATGGCCCCATCTGAATACTACAGAAATGTAAAGGCAGGATGTGAATAGAAAGCACATTCTGTCATTTAGCATGTGAATATTAAAGGGAAGTGGAATATTTTTTTAATAGACCACTCTGAAGCCAAGAAAATAATCAGTTATCCAAGCAGTGACTTCCTGTTTAAGTTTAAAAATGTGCTAAATACAGGGAAAGCTGAACTAACATTCCTCAAATGGACCTTAACATGTTGATGTGTTTAAAAAGTGGAAATGTATCCATGGTGTTTTCACAGCTTGCTTCTGCTGCCTCCATTTGGCAAAAAAAACATTTCAGTAAAACAGTTTTTTGTGGTTAAACACAGCACATTTGTAATTACTCCAATCACATCCCATTTTAGAGTTTCCAACAACAACAACAACAACAAGTGTTTCATTTTTAAAGCATCACTTAAATTCATGGAAGGAAGTTGGAAGAAGTTGGCAGGAGGTAATTTGTTTAATAATTTTGCACTGTTTTCAATATTTTCAATACCCAAATTGGCACCTTAACCATCTTGATGATTCCCAGACCCCTCCTAATAGAGACCAAGCACCAGCTATAGTTAGAGGTATTGTGCCACTTTCTGGTGTAAAGACTTCCTAAAGTTATTGTTAACCTAAATGTTTTTAAAATTATACTTAAGACAGACTGTCTGTGTGTGAGTGTCGTACCGCTGAGCAGGGGCTGGTTGCGTCTGTGCGTGGCGGGCAGGGGGCCAAAGCGCTCCTGCCGCTGGTTCAGAACACGGCCCAGATGGCCAGTGTGCCGCAGGCTCCCGACGGTCACGCTGTGCAGGTACACCGGCTCCACAAAGTGGCTCAGCAGCGCCCCCTGCAGGCCCAGGATGTTCCATCTGAGGAGAAGGGGTAAACAGAGTCAGGGATGAAGCGGAATGATAAATCAGGAGAAGAAGGTGAGAAAGGAAGGAGAAGAACGTTATAAAGAGTGTGTTTGAGGATGAAATGTGTACATAAAGAAATAGGGAGGGAAGGTGCAGTTTGGGGAAGGGAGATAGAATCAGGGTGCGAAAGGAGGAGAAAGGGGAGAGATAGAAGGATATAAAAAAAGAGAGAGACAGATGTGAAAGCTTCAATGACAGGTAGAGACAATTTGATCATTATCTTGATGTGGGACGTGATGAATAACAGCCATAGGACTGACGACACACACAAACATACTACACGCACACATGCACGTAATCTGACAGACACACGTCCTCCACTCCCATTTTCCCCTGGTTCAGAGATACAAACCATCATCACCACCACCGACAACAACACTGCCAAAGGTCAGTCCATCAGCATTCAGTATGTGGAACAACACATTAGCATATGTGCATTCATCAGTGCCATGAGGTTAATGCACTGCACTGGGCTGCAGGCAAGCTTCCGTCGATTGCTCAGAGCGAGGGGCGATCACTTCGGGGTTTGTTTAGGGAGATCCACGAGTGACACCAAATCACAGTGGGGCTAATCCTGCCAACACCGACACCTGATACTGTAGCCAGCTGGTCATGTGCCACCGACTGTTGAAATCCTCTCTATTTAACCAGCAGATGCTAATTTATGGATGGGAAATTATAATTACCGTGTTTATTCTCATTTCCGCCCTTCATGGAGAGTATAAGCCTGAGCTGGGTCTCCTGTGCTGGACTAATGAACTTATGCGAGGCACAATCACAGGCTCGACATTATGCTACTCATTTTTAGATCATTGTTCTTTTTGTTAATCAATGTCTCTTTATCATGAATGCAATTACAGCGGCTGCTTGTTTTTTTTGTTTGTTTTCTGTCTCTTGCCGACTTAATAATCACTCATTACGGCTTCTTTTGCTTCCCGAGCAGTCAATTAACATCAGCGGCTTTCGGGGAATCACTAAACAGGCTCATGATGCAGCGACCGCCTGCCTACGCTGTACCTGCAATCTGTCAGCAACATCGGTCCTTCCCTCTAAAGCAGAGAGGTTTGTTTTAAAAGCACACACACACACACACACGCAGAACTTCAGTGCTCTGCAAAAACAGAAATAGTTTAGCCTGAAATATTAATTTACCCCGAAAGCAACACCGTGAATCAGAAACATCTTCTAATCTCATGCAAGAAAAGACAGCCATCTGGCTTGGGTGTGTGAAATTTAAAGAGAGGAGAGGGGAGAGACCTCTTCTCTCTCCCCTCTCTCTGTCGCTCGACATCTATCCTTTCTTCCCTCCCCCGGTAAACGGCGACCATTAAAGTAATGTGTTCATCTGCATAAAACTGCAGTGGAATGGAGAACATCATCGTTATATGAAAGCCATTAAGGCCCCTCAATTAAATCCAGCTGTCGACTTCAAATCAAATATTAGCAAAGGAACCTTTACCAGGCCTGGCTTAAGAAAACAAAATAATGATCATCAGGTTTAGTCATGGCGGGGTGACGCTTTATCAAAAATGTTTATGATAAGAGCAAAGATCTCTATAACTAACTATACTTTAGTGCAGGGGCTGAGGGAAGTGGGGAAATAAAAAAGTAATGGGAGGTTGCAAAATGAGAGTGACAGAGGACAAGAAGAGTATCCAGGGGATCACTTTAAGACTGCAGCAGTGTGTGTGTGTGTGTGTGTGTGTGTGTGTGTGTGTGTGTGTGTGTGTGTGTGTGTGTGTGTGTGTGTGTGTGTGTGTGTGTGTGTGTGTGTGTGTGTGTGTGTGTGTGTGTGTGTGTTGAGTCTAAGCTCCTCTCAGTTCCACCCTCCACCCTGACCTTGATAAACTGGCCCTTGGTGACCCACTCACTTTAACGACGGCCACCCATCATTTACAGCGATATAAAAAACGGAAAGAGGAGTCTTTGGAGCAAACAGAGTTTGTCTGCCGTCCGGCCTGGCGGGGAGGGGATGGTGTAAGCGAAGAAGAGCAGGGTGTCCCTTCTCCCTCCCCCGTCACTCTATTTTTTTGTAAAGTAATTGCTTTCACCCCCGTTGGTGACCTGGGTAGATTTAATCACACCATCTCCAGCCCTGGCCAACTGAATCAAATTGGTCAAATTAACAACGGCTCCACCGGAGAAGGCTTCACCTCTCCCTCTGTGTGCATGTCCTTTCACACACACAACACCGGCTCAGCTGTAGTCCTGCATGGCTCAGTTGGCACAGCTTACTAAGCTTAATTCTAGTTTTAGTTCCTGTTGAGCCTCAGTCCTTGCAGTACAACTGAGCCCTAATTGATTTCAGATATTTCAGAGAATTAAACAAAAAGGGTGGAAGTAGACAATTATTATTGTTACCTTCATTGTGTGCAATGTACTTTAAGCTATACAGTCCACTACTTCGAGTTAAATATTTTATTTATTGATGGTTCCATAGATGGTTCATCATTAGGTTAAAAATCTCCAGTACTTTAGATTGTAAAAAATAAGAGCCCTTACTTTGGGTTTAATGTGAATTAGCAAATGTTAGCATGCTAACTAGGGCTGCACGATTGGGGGAAATAATCTAATTGCGATTTTTCTGACAGATATTGCGATTCGATTTGCGATATTTGTTTTTAAGCGACCCAACGGAAGTTTATTGTAAAATGCGGCCATATCTCCGGCTAGGAATGTCGCATCGACGTGCTCCCGTCTCTAGCACCCCCGCAGCCCGAGCTACGAGTGAAAGAACTAAACTTACATGAAACTTCCGTTTGGTTGCTTAAAAACAAATATCGCAAATCGAATCAAAATATCTGTCAGAAAAATCGCAATTAGATTCATTTTTAATTAATAGATGTAAAACATGTGATGGAGCATTACTAACCTGACTGTTTGTTTTACCAAGCCATCGAGGAAAGCTCCATTGGAAGCCATTTGGAAAAGTATTTCAAAAATACTTGGCAGGTGATTGGATCAATCTGTCTATCACCTTCTATCATGGGCCACTTCTGATTGGTTAACAATGGCTGGTACATGTGGAGCACAGCACTTCTGATTGGTGTGGATGACTGACACACAAGAAGAACAAAAAAAGAAAAAAGAAATCGCAGGCTTTGCAATTTGATAATTGCATAATTTCAAATTTCGATTTAAAATAGATGAATCGTTCAACCCTAATGCTAACACACGATACTAAGATGATGAGGGTGGTCAACATTATTTTAATGGTTTGTGCCATTTTACTCGGCAATCGTAAATCTGGGCTGCGAATGACTTCACAATGGAGTTTATCGCGTTCCAGTACACAAGTCTGAAAACCAAGAGCTAACAACGTTAGCTTTGGAGCCATTGTAAGCTAAAAACCCGTTGACATCAAACCATTACAAAATATTTTGGGGACCTCTGTCTTAACAAAAGAAATGAAGATATTACTACACATATAAAGTTAAAGTTGAATTCACAAGCCACTCTGTTGCTTATTTCAAACAACTTAATACACAGGAGCTTTGTGTTTTCATCCTGAGGCTACATAGTCTGGTCTGACTTGTAGCGGCTAATACTAGCTTACTTTAGCAAACCTTAGCATGATAGGTGACCTTTAAAGCAACCATGGTTTTTACTGATGTGCTTAGATATACTGTATTTAAAACGGAATTAAATGGACAAAAAACAAATAGCCTTGTTGAACATGGTGATAACAGCTCAAATAATAACATATTTAATCATAAAAAACAGTTATCACCTTTTTTATTAACGTGGCTTACTGTTTCAAACTTAGAACACATAGTTACACAAATGATGTGTGTGGATGCCTCCTCTGCCTGAAAAGATGCCTTCGCTCCGCACATATGCGGGCAGTGTGAAAGTGGAGGCGGGAGAGCAAAGCTTCCCTTGTTTACCATAGCCGTCTGTCTTGTAAAGGCTTGCCAACATGCGGACGATACATTAACAATTTAAGGACATACATTTTGTTTTTGTTCTCTGTTTTGGATACAAGTGTTACAGTGACACTGCAGTAAACACATTATTTTAAATAGTTTTTGCCATGTTCCAGGTAAATGCTGGTATGACTAATATAGGAAAATAAGCTCACAGATCTAAAGATTCAAACAATAATGTGATTAATACCCTCATTCATTAGAACGGGATTACCTGCTCAAGTGACATATGGGAAATCTATAGTCCCCATCCGGACTACACATTTCATATACAGCATGACTCATGGCAACACCAACATGCTATAAAAGGTAAATATCAGACAAACCTCTCTATGGCTCGTGAAGCACATTTTTAGAATGCTTTATTTAAACAGGGATCACTGCTTCTCATAAAGAAGATAAGCTGCTAAGAGTTAACCTTTCAATCAACCCTTTTAGCTGTCTTTTATAACAAAGGCCACAGACCTCCTGGGTGAAAGGATTGGTTGATCAGTTTGGAAGGAGTTTGTATTAGGGTACCATCTGACCTTTACAATATAATCAACTGAAATATAAAATACAATGCCAGGGAGTAAAAAGGACAATTCTATTTGAGGCATTAATGTTGTTTAACTACTAACTAAAAATAGTAGCATTTTTTATATACTTTATCAAACCTGCGCTATCTTAACAAATGACAGCACAAGAGCCTTTTATCTGTCCAAAAAATTATATATTTACAGTTTAAGCTCTCAAGGAGATTAATCAATTTGCAGGATGTTTTGGGGATTTTTGGTTCAATTGACTTTTGAGTCAGAATATAAATAGGGAGTTTAGGTTGTTTTTCAAAAGGGTGCCAGAATAGGAGAATGCTACCTTAAACCCTGATATTATACATGTTTTGAAGCTGGATGTACATTCGGAAAGCACTGACCTGGTGATCTTGTCGGTGCAGGACATGGTGATGAGCTGCTCGCCCTGTAAGACCCCGTCCCACGTTTGGACCGGCCCCCGACCTCGCACCGGCACCGTCCCCTCTCCTGACTCGATTTTGGTCCGCAGGTGGCTGCGATGTTTCCTCAGGAGGTGTCTGCTGCTGTGAACTGCCAACACAACACAAAGCCTGAGCTTCATCACTCTGCATTATGTCAGTCGCTATTACATGGCTTTGCTTGATATCCAATCTAATTAGCTATTAATGAAGCTGTTATTTCTAAATAACACAAAGTGTTTCAGATCTAATCACGTCAATAAGCACCCAAGATTGATTTTGTAGACTTCTGATCTAATTTACTGAAAATACACCAGGTCACGTTTGTGATCTAAGATGGAACACTTTTCCAAATGTTCTCTTAATATATAACAGAAAATGATCCATTATGTGTTACACTTTAGCTCTTAAGTGGTACATTCTCTGTATAATTAGGGATGTTTGCAGCTACTAATTATAAGAGTGCACGTGTAACTAGCTGCATGTAATTAGAAAACAAGGAATGTTCAATATTGTGGTTATCCAATAAACATTAAAACAATACTATCATATATTTGGTAATACACTGGCACTGTTCTCAGCTGTGCAAAACATGCAATTTCCTTTACAAAGCAAAAAGTTTAAATGAGGTTAATAGCTTAATTTAGGGAATTCAATGTATTATTTTGGGACCATTGACTGCCTAATTGTTAATGAAGTAAGCATTTTACTGGCTGTATGGAGGGAAGAAGGAGAAAGGAACCATTTTCCTGGATGAACCTCGGACTGTTTATATTAGGCATGGTATGACAGACTATGGTTACCAACAGAACAACTTCTTAACTTTTTAACCCTATTAGTGAGAGCACATGCCCTTAAGCCATTTAAAAAACGTTCCTGTGATTTTATGTGGGTGTACAAGCCAGCATGACCTCTACGGGCATTACAATATGCTAATTAGAGTATACAGTATTCAAAAATAATCTGCATAGTATTAAGTGGAAGGACCGTAATCTTTCAGGAAGAAGCGTTGTATCAATTATAGATATTGTTTTTCAAGTTTTCAGTAAAATCCGAGTATGGATATCTCCCTAATAGGGTGACAGAGTCTACATAATTAATCACTGTTTTTGTTTTAATAACCTCTTATTTCTCAAGACTTAAACTCTCCTTCTCTCTTCCTCCATGCTTGCTTTGGCTGATGTGACAGCAGCTAAAAATTAAGCCCTGACTTTCGGCTCAGAAATGTTTTAGAACAGTCAGGAAAAGGTACTAAGTAATATTCTAATCTCTGAGAGCGCACTGCATAACATTTAAGAGGTTTAATTACCAAAAAACGTCAAGTTCAAAGGAATCTACGATGACAGCGTCTCTTTCTATCCTTACTGGTTCCATGAAAATCTCACCATGCACCGCACTGTAGCGTATGTTAAAAGAGCTGAATGACATTTTCAGTTAATAATGAAAGGAGAGGGAGATACAGTATATACATATACATTCTTCTGATGGGAACCTGAGTCCAGATTACATTTCAGAACTCATAGGCCACCAGAAAAATGCTGGGAAAACCGTATAAATTAATTTACAATTTATTTTCAGTGGGTGAGCAATAAAATGTCATCCAGTCAGCACAGCGTGGCTGAAAGAGGTGATAGAAGGGATGTGACATGAAAGGATGCCAGCTTCTTGACAGTGTGTAGAGAAAAAAAGACCAGAGCAGTGGCTTTCAGAATATCCGCCAGAGAAAAGGATCCCTCTATAAACCTGATGGACTATTATTGATTGCATTATATAACTAAAACCATTATTGGAAAACCAAATCCAATAAAGGCCTGGTGTCTTACGGTCAGAGGTGATTTCATAGGGCGAGTTGAGCCTCCCGTCCCCACACGGCGACGTGCTGATGTACATGTGGAAATGGATGTTGTCTCTCAACCTGTAGCCACACTCCTTGTGTCGCACAAATATCGACTCCTCCCAGTCTTCTGGTCTTTTACTTTAAGAGAAAAAGGCAAAAAAGAAAAAACAAGTATGAGGGTGAGTGATGAGAAAGGTAGCACCATTCATCACAGCTATAGGAAATAGATTTCCACTTTTCGTTTCCAATGATGAAGTGAGGCAGGGACACCGAGAGATGGACACTGAGCACAGTCCATTCTCCTGCTGTCAGACAGACTCCTCAACATTACTCAGGCTGTCCAAATGTCTCAGGGCAAAGAGGGACCGTCAGTCAAACCCTGGGTCAATAGATGAGTACAAATGTAAAACAAACTTGCAAGAAAATTAGAAATATGTTAAGTGGTTTCACCGGCAGTATAAATAACTGTTAACAGTTTCATAGCTCATTGCTACCGGTTTGGAGTGTAACAAGTATCCCCTGCTGTAATGCATACCCTGCTTTATCGTCTATTTTACTGCAAATGGGACTATATTTTATAAAGTAAAAAATCATGCTGTAATGAAGTATACTTGAAACCAGCTTTTGAGACCATAAACTCTTCAGGAAAATGTTTACAGAAGTGATAAATCAAGTGAATAGTAGGTCATTTTCTCATAGACTTACATACAATCTGACCAATGGAGTCGCCCCCTGCTGGCCATTGGAAATAATACAAGTTAAGGGTATTGTCTTGGGAAAAGTGAGGCATATGGTGGTGGTACAGTCAGATGGGTTATTGATCAAATAATTAGGGTAACTTTTTAAGATAAATCTGAAAAAAATAGTGTCCATACATTATTAATAAGTTGAATACTTGCAGTATGGACAACTAGGTGACTTATACACAAACTGGGTCATTGTTTCTGCTGTGAGCGGAGATAAGACTTTCATCACTCAAACACACCAGGTACGTATTGTACACATAGTATATTTAAACTATGCATCACAATGCAAAGCACGGCTGCACTCTTTATATAACCTCTCCTCTGTCTCCGATGTCCTTTCACGGAGTGTAAATATGGCACTTCTGGCATTTGTTTGGTCATTTCATTATGAGTTATCTTCCCCATTAGCCATTTTACTCAGCTGCAAAGTCTCCATACCTGCCATCCAGCATTGTGCCAAGACAAAAAGTCAGTGCTGTGTATGCAAATATGACATTCAACGATCTAGACTTCTAGCCACTAATCTGATGTATCAGCCTTGCAATAGAGTTCCTCTGGGAGCTCAAAAACATAATATATGCTTACAGACTGGAGGGGAAACTAATGGAGACTGTTTCTTGATGCTGGTTTTTGTGAGTTTTTGTGCACAAAAGCATGCGGGTCATGTACAAAGGTACAATATAAGAAGGCACAGTGTTAAAAAAGTGGTAAAAACAAATCCATTGAGATCATGAGGTGAACCACTTAAGTGTGAGTTGTTTGTTTGGTTAGCTAGAGGGAACAGCACACATATGGCTCGTTGATTATCGAAAAGTCTCTGGTGTACAAAGCAATGCTGTTTCCATGGAGCTTATTATAGAGGAGAGGGCATTCTTTGGCACTGCAGTGGGAGGTCACAACATATGTAATGCTATTAAGTACACTGTAGTGCATCATGTAATGCATGTTAAAGTAGTTGGAGGCACCTTAGAAACTAAAATGTATGAAGCTTACACATAATGTTGGCAACAGTCTTACTTACTGACAGAAATAGATATGCATTATCTGGTGGACTATAACAAAGTACATGTACTCAAGTTAAGGAAATTATACCTTTGCATTAGTGATAGTAAGAGTACACTTCTACAATAAACTGTATTTCAATGCAAGACTAAAAGGGGCAAATCAAATGCATTATTAAGATTTTTTTCCCCTAGGTTCTAAGTCACAGGTGATATTGCAAATTCCAGTATTTTAGTATATACTTGAGATCATGTAACTTTTGGCAACCACCAAAGTCATTAGTCAGCAATCATGGGGTACTGATGTTAACATTATCAATAGGAGAAAGGTAAAGTGCAGTAAATCTTTTAATATCTATCTAAAGTTTTCTAAAATTAACTCACATTTGACCACTTTGAAGTCCAACTAAGATCCCATTTAGTAATTCCTTCTTATTGACGACGTCATTGATTCTGTTGAAGAGTAACTAAAACACAATAGAATGATATGAGGGCAACTGATCCTTCAATTATAAACCAGCTTTCAATACTTTTTATCGACCAATTACAGAGCGCACCATTTCAGGAGATAAGGAATGCTCCAGGTTTTTTCAAGTTGCCGAAATGTTAGTACACCTCTCTGATAATGTCCATTTGTATTTAAGATAGAGCAGAGATAAATGTGTTACCTTAAAAAGAGTTCAAGTTGAGAGTAGAGGAAGCGTAGCAGGGCTCTGCGGGCCGTGACCTCAGCGTGACAGTCGTTGACCACCTGTCCCTGGTCGCTCAGATATTCCCCGTTGATACACTTGGTGCCCGTGGATAACGCCACCACCTGGGCGTGCCTCAGGTCCAGACCTGTCGAACAATATCAGACATGTTTTCGGTTTTCACCCTATTTTGCTACATTAGTCCAAGAGTTTGAAAGAAGCCCTCCTTCCTTTTCCAGACTAAGGAATGAAGTCTGGGTAAGTGATTCATTTTCCATCGGTAGGGTCAGGCTCAACGTTCTTTCACACTCTGCACCTGTTCAAACACTTTTAGACATTGTCGGCTTAGCATATGGAATAAGTGAATATATATTTGTTATAATTATGCAAAAAAACGTCAAGTCATTTCAAGTGAAGGAGCGTCAAATAAAATACAGGATGTTATAAAAGTGAAATGAAAATGAAACCCAACAAAATGCATCTATTAGCCTCAAAGTGTGGATGGCAGACTGAAGTTGGTCATACACAGCCAAACTGTTCCATTTGCTCACATAGTGAAATAATAAATATCAAAAAGAGGAGAACGGGGTAAAAAGGTCATTCCACACGACAATTTGAGGTTATTTTCATAACCACAGATCTCTGAGTCAGCATCTCTTCAGAAGCTCCTATCACACAGCACCAGCCAGGATTAGCTGGATCCACAAAGCGAGGGAGGGAAGAGACCCTCCGCCTATAAACTGGGCTGGCACCCCGCCTTCTTGGTCATA